TTATTATTATTATTATTTATTATTATTATTATTATTATTATTATTATTATTATTATTATTTATTATTATTATTATTATTATTATTATTATTATTATTATTATTATTATTATTATTATTATTATTATTATTATTATTATTATTATTATTATTATTATTATTATATTATTATTATTATTATTATTATTATTATTATTATTATTATTATTATTATTATTATTATTATTATTATTATTATTATTATTATTATTATTATTATTATTATTATTATTATTATTATTATTATTATTATTATTATTATTATTATTATTATTATTATTATTATTATTATTATTATTATTATTATTATTATTATTATTATTATTATTATTATTATTATTATTATTATTATTATTATTATTATTATTATTATTATTATTATTATTATTATTATTATTATTATTATTATTATTATTATTATTATTATTATTATTATTATTATTATTATTATTATTATTATTATTATTATTATTATTATTATTATTATTATTATTATTATTATTATTATTATTATTATTATTATTATTATTATTATTATTATTATTATTTCCGCCCCCCAGGCCCTGATGTGGGTTAGTGACCTGTGCCCGGGTGGGCTAATCCCCGATGATAGAAGCGGTATCGCTCTTGCCTCGCAAGCAAGATGTCACGGGTTCGATTCCCGGGCCGGTGGAAAATTGTTCGGACACACTTCCCAGCCTCCCTTGGTCCCTATTCACCTAGCAGGAAAGGAGGTACCTGCTGTAAGTCGAAAGTTGCAACTTCGTATTCAGGGACAAGTTGTTGGAGCTTCCAATAACTTGATGGCATACACCATTGACTCTTCAGGCTCTACGCCCTTAACTCATGAGACATAAAGGCAAGCATGAACTTGGCATGCTTCCCTGTTGGGCGCTGTAAACGCTTCTGCGCTTCACCTTACACAAGGATGTAGGGGAGTGCCCAATGAAAAAAAAAAAAGGATTTGATGCCAATGACTGTATTGTTTTTTTTAAAGATTTTCCAGATTTATAGTAGTAAATACAGTTTGACATTTGATTGGTCTTGGCTCTCCTGGGGGTGACTAACGACAAGGAAGTGTTTCGTATAAAAGAATCAAAGGCACATCCCCTCCCACCCCCTCTCCTCCAGCACTGGTGGTTAAAAGGTGACTCTCAGCCTCTCGAGACGGACTCTGATCTTTTGATGTTTTGTCTCACCCAAATCTTTGACTTGACAGGATGAGTCTTGAGTCTTTACAACAAACTTTACTCATTACTTAAAACATCCACAGGACGGGAGAAGATGGTGGGCAGAGAACCAGCAGAAAATATAAACCACGTATTAAGAGGTTTGACTAATTTTAACCATACAGTAAACACACACACTTCTGAATCTCTCTTTTCTTATCATACTTTTCCTACAGTGAACAGCACCATCTCTCAGTACACAAGACCACCGCACCCCAGCCATGCTCTTACTCAACCCCACACTCGTGACGTCACTGTTTGCTGTTGTTCGAATGTCAAATTTTTCCTCGTCCCGAAATGGTGGTGTAGCCCTACTGTTATATACTACTGTTAGGTGATATATAACGGTGGTGTAGCCCTACTGTTATATACTACTGTTAGGTGATATATAACGGTGGTGTAGCCCTACTGTTACACACTACTGTTAGGTGATATATAACGGTAGCCCTATGTTTATATTATTTGTTAGTGATATATAACGGTGGTGTAGCCTAATAAGTTATATACTACTGTTAGTGATATATAACGGTGGTGTAGCCTTACTGTTACACACTACTGTAGGTGATATATAACGGTGGTGTAGCCTTACTGTTACACACTACTGTTAGGTGATATATAACGTGTGTAGCCCCTACTGTTATATACTACTTGTTAGGTGGATATAACGGTGGTGTAGCCCTACTAAGTTACATACCTGTAATGTTAGGTGATATATAACGGTGGTGTAGCCCTACTGTTACACACTACTGTTAGGTGATATATAACGGTGGTGTAGCCCTACTGTTACATACTACTGTTAGGTGATATATAACGGTGGTGTAGCCCTACTGTTACATACTACTGTTAGGTGATATATAACGGTGGTGTAGCCCTACTGTTACATACAACTGTTAGGTGATATATAACGGTGGTGTAGCCCTACTGTTATATACTACTGTTAGGTGATATATAACGGTGGTGTAGCCCTACTGTTACATACTACTGTTAGGTGATATATAACGGTGGTGTAGCCCTACTGTTACATACTACTGTTAGGTGATATATAACGGTGGTGTAGCCCTACTGTTACATACTACTGTTAGGTGATATATAACGGTGGTGTAGCCCTACTGTTACATACTACTGTTAGGTGATATATAACGGTGGTGTAGCCCTACTGTTACATACTACTGTTAGGTGATATATAACGGTGGTGTAGCCCTACTGTTATATACTACTGTTAGGTGATATATAA